TACCTTATAAGGTACAATTACAAAGGTACAGCCCCAGTGACAAGCAAAGGTACAAATATATACCCTTTGTTCTTAGAGTGTAGCCTACGAAAAGTCAGCCTCATTTCCGTCACACTAATGTGACCTGTCTTTCCAACTGTATTACGGTATTGACGATATGTCACCCTTTAGTCATTCATTTAATACTATTGAATGAAGCGATACAGTTCAATTTTCACAAAATTATCAACGAAAGTAACTACATATGCTCATTTAATAAACAAGAGTATTTAGTTCTCATTCTAGAGTTAGTAATAGCTACTTTGTACGATTACCTTGACAATTTAAATACACAAATATGGCATTAACAAAAACAAAGGAACTAGAATTGCGTGTAGGTGGTAGGAAACAGAAGGGCGTGTCCCCGTCGCCAGTATTAATTTGGCTTAATTCATCTCTCAATAAACACACCGTTGTGTTTAAATTATTAAGTTGTGCGCCCCTCTCGCTCCTGGGACAGGAGTCAGACTCATCGCGACACTGTACTAATAAAGATGGATAGATGGGAAAAAAACATTAAACTGACAGCATCGCTATATGTGCGTATATGAGCGTAAATAAAAATAGAAACCGTTAATTTGAACAGTCATGCTATTCGATAGCAGCGGTTATAATCAATAGTTTCACGGATGCCAGTCTTTCAACTTCTACTTGATTCCAACTTAGCAGAGGCAGTCGGGTCATAGGCCTACAAGCGAAATATATGTGAACATTAACGCGCTAATAGAACACATACCTTCTACTTTGCTACTTCTATTCTACTCTCATTTGTATGTAAACTCATTATGGTGGGAGTCAACACACACACACAAACAAAATATTGTACAATACTTAAAACGATTTCAAAATGTTTTGTAGACTAAGTTGTCAAGGTGTGTGTTTAATGGAAAAAGCATGTTCGTTCTACTGCAGTGCATGATGGGTACGGTTTTTGGGGGCTACTTAAATTTCATCAACAACTGCTGCAACTGGCATAGGCAGACCCTAGGTGTGAATTTGGAAAGGGTCCATGACCCAAGGTACAGTTTCTCCGTTACTGTAGCTTAGGTGTGTTTAATGGTATAAAACAAATAATTGACTATGCACCACACAAACACTCCACTAAAAGATTATCAAACCTGAAAATAACTGGAATCTTACTTGTCACAGAATAGCAGAAAAATCTATAAAAGGAAATAAACGCTGTTTAGGTTGTCAAATTAGAATTGTTTAATTCACTCAAAGTCACTTTGAAGTATTGTTGTAGATTATGAAATATAAAATTTTATTGTCCCTTCATGAATCGTCACCTTATCGTAGTGGAGGTGTTTGTGTGCCTCTGTGATCCTAGGAGCTATGTTGTTGGGGCCAATTGCCCCAGGTAGGGTCTCCCAAGGCAAATTGGTCCTAGGTGAGCGGCCAGACTAAGTGCAATCCATAAAACCCTCATGATGAGCAATATGAGACCATGTCACCCAGACCGGACCTGGGAGACCGGGGCTATGCCCTGGAGTACAGCCAGGCATACCACAAAGGAGTAACATGGGTCCTCCTTCCTGTGGGCCCATCACCTGCAGGGGGAGCCATTGGGATCAGGCTCAATGTAGATTGGGTGGCAGTTGAAGGCAGGGGCCTCAATGTCAGCTACCAAAACTGGCTTTACGTACATGAAATGTAACCTCTCTGCTGGGAAAGGAGCCTGGAGAGGGGCTAGACTATATTCTACTCTGGTGTTGCCCATGGGAGAGGCACCAGGCGAGGGTCTGTCTTATCACCGCCCAATATGCATTGCCAGAATGAGAGAATCATGTCCGACGTCAAGTCTGGGGATGGGCTCTGATTGTTGTCTGTGCAGTATCCAGCCTTCTTGGAGACCTTGGAAGGGGCACCCCTTCTGGGGAATCCATTGTTCTTCTGGGGGACTTTCACGTGGGTAATTACAGTGAAACCTGGAAGGGTGTGGTTGGGAGGAATGGCCTGCCCGATCGGAATCCGAGCGGTGATCAGTTATTGGACTTCTGTGCTAACCACAGTTTGTCCATAATGAACACAGTGTTTGAACATAAGAGTGTTCATAGGTGCACCTGACACCAGAGCACCCTAGACTGCAGTTTGATGATTGATTTTCTAGTCATATTGTCAGATTTGCGTTCGCATGTTTTGGACACTCGGGTGAAGAGAGGAGCTGAGCTGTCAACTGATCACCATCTGGTGGTGAGTTTGATCTGATGGTGGGGGAAGATGCCAGATAGACCCGGTAGACCCAAATGTATAATGAGGCTATGGTTGGAGCATCTGGCAGAGACCCCTGTCCGGGAGATCTTCAACTCACACCTACAGCAGAACTTCTCTTGCATCCCGAGAGATTCAGGGGACATAGACCCTGAACGGGCCATGTTCCTGGACTCCATTGCTGAGGTGGCTGTGTAGAGATGTGGTCATAAGGTTGTTGATACCTGCTGTCGTGGCGATCCCCAAACCTAGTGGTGGATCCCAGCAGTAAAGAGAGCTGTTAGGTTAAAGAAGGAGGTCTTCCAAGCTTGGTTGACTTGTGGGACTTCAGAAACAGCTGACAGGTACTGGCAGGCCAACCAGAAAGTGGCTTCGGCAGTTGCTGAAGCAAAAATTAAGGTGTGGGAGGAGATTAATGAGGCTATGGAGGACTTTTGGTTGGCCTCAAAAAGATTCTGACAAACTGTCAGGCAACTCAGAAGGGGAAAGCAAGGCTGTTTACAGCAGGATGGAGGTTGACTTAAAATGGGGATATAGTCAGACAGTGCAAATAATATTTTTCTGACCCCCTGAATCCCACTGATACACCTTAATTGGAAGAAGTAGAGCTAAAAGCCACAGAGGGGGACTTGAACATCTCTTGGGCTGAGATCACTGAAGTAGTCAGGCTCTGGGTAAGGCTCTGGGGATGGATGAGATTCGTCCTGAGTTCTTGAAAGCTCTTGATGTTGTTGGGACATTTGGGAGGGGCTCAAATTAGAGCTGTTGCTCCTCCTCATCAAAAGGAGCCAGTTGGGGTGGCTGGATGCCTCCTGGACGGCTCCCTGGTGAGGTGTTTCAGCTATGTTGGACATGTTGGAGAGATTATATCTCTGGGCTGGCCTGTGAAAGCCTTGGTATTCCCTTGGTGGAGCAGAAGGATGTGGCTGGTGAGAGGAAGGTCTGGGCATCCCTGCTTAGACTGGATGGATGAATTAATTTAATTGCTATGTAGATTTATCATCCAAAAGTTTTGTTATATAAAGCACACATAACTTCTTGGTGGAGTTTTGTCTTTCAATCACCCAAGAGTCATTCACTTTTCCCTCCAGTCAATGTAAGTTGAATATAATATATACAATATACTTCCATTTATCCATCAATTTTCCAGCCACTCTTCCTGGACATAGTTGATAGTTGCAGAAGGGTCTGGAGCCTAGCCCAGGCCACATAAGGCACATAAGATTTTAAACATGTATATAAATACAGTATATAAAAATGGAACCAGAACAGGGGCCAGATAATGTATTTAATTCCAGCTGATTCTGTAACGTTAATGCGGTCTCTCTATCGTTTGTGTGATATAGGCTGACATTCTGAAGATCATATTTTTAAGCTTAGTATTGAGATTGGTATTATGTATATATTTTCACTTAGTAATATCACTATTTCTTTGTTATAATGTTAGTATCATAATGTGAATAATCATTGATAAATAAAATGAGCTTGACAGGCATATGATTATCTGGTTAGCAAACTAACCAGAACTTTTCGAGGGGCCAATGCTTGACCAGTCCCCCTTGGTAAATGTATGATTTTAGGGAATCGGACACTAAGAACCTCAAGATGGGGCCACTGTCAATTATTCGGGCAAAAGGGGCAGGTTCTCAGGCACTCTCAGCCTCCCCCATACACATCTGGGTCTGAGTGTGGAGTTGACATGTTCTCTCTGTGTCACACAGGTTTCCTCCAGACCATGGATATGCAGTCAGTTCTACTGGAGTCACTATATTGCCCATAGCGTCTGAGTTTGCCCTATTCCACAATTCTTTACCCATTACATTAACCAAATGGACCCATGTCACAATGTACAATACAAATACAGAAATACATATACTGTACGTGTAAAACGTAAGAAATGTATCACATAGATGCCATAGTGAAGAAATGTTAGTGACTGGACATTTTGACCTATCATTCATAAAATGAATATCTATGTGATTCCAATGCATTGTGCAAAGCATTAAGAAAAATAAAACAATGATTGTGGTGATATATTTTCAGGCTAACGTCCTTAGTTGGATAATTATCATCTAATTCAATTGATACGGTAGCCATATCATTTTGGAAGCCTGGTAGTCTTCTGTCTCCATGCTCCATTTTCCTTGCATTCAGGCTGTGGAGTCCTCTTATTTATCACCTTGTCACTGAACATAAGATTTAATTTTTTTTCCTCCTCAGTCCTTAACTTCCTTTCAATGAGTGCACACCATTTTTCATCAGCTTAAAAGTAAACATGAAACATTTTTGCATAAAATGCAAACAAAAGGCTGAAGCAAGCAAAATTGAGCTAGTAATAAAATCTATATTTATATAGTAACACTCTAATTGCTAAGCCAGCTAAAAACACCTATGCTGTATTTGACTGTATGTTGTCCAACCAAACCTATATTCACACATGCATGCAATATCTTTGCAGTTTAAGAATGTATAGCTGCCAGAAATTAGCTGCAACATCAGCTCTATCTACCCGAATACAGAAAAAAAACGAAGTCTCTATTTGTTAAATGTTAACGAGATGTAGGATGTAACTTAAGTGTTTCCCACAGGCGACTCTCTTACAGTAGGGACAACAGATTGCTCTTTAAAGCATGAGAACTATAATGGGTACAGATCACATCAATGTTCGGAATATTTAGAAGAAAAGGCGAGTACGAAGTGAGAATCCTCCCCGACCAATCAGCACTCTTTAAACAAGCAGTCTTCCAGAAGACGCATTTCCGCTGTGCTGCTTCACTCGTAATGTACACCGTACGCCGTGAGAAATTATTTTGCTTTTATTTAGGTGACCCGTACATTGCCAGATATTTCAGGTTAAAGTTAGCCTATATAAAATGCGGAGCGTCCTAAATTATAAAATATATAATGCATGGATTTTTAAAACTGATATCGTTACGATTGTGTTTTTCTTGATATTTCGATTAATAGTATTATAGTTTATGTAGTGAAGGATGCTCCCACGCTTAAATGTGATTGCTAGTCTATATTACTGTATCCGTAAAATAGGAAAATACGAATTATAATTACAGCTGAAATATGTTTTATTTCACGTAGGAGTTAAAATGAGGCAATTCAAAATACCGAAATAACCTATTCGTTAGCGAGCGGACGCAGCCTGGGTGTAATTGCCTATTAATATTTCTTGAATACTAACTTGAAGATCTTATTCTGTTTTACCTTTGGGTGAGAATGAAAGTGGACGGCATCGTGCCGTTCGTATGTTATTTTTCTTTTCATGTTAAAAACGCAGACATTAGCACTATAACGGCGCACAGCGCAGCCCAGGGTGGACGTAGGATGCCTCGGGTAGGGGAAGCTCTGAGACGCGGCAGCTCTGGAAGAGAAGAAGCGCGCGTCTCCTTTAAGATAAACCAGGGAAGCGGTGGCCACGTTTGCCTGGGACGGATTTCCAACATTCAGTCTTAAAAAAAAAGAATCCTCGCACTGTAATATTCGCCTGGTGCGTACCCACTGGTGGATGGAAACTGGCGCCGAAGTTAAAAGCGACAAAACGGGCGAGGATGGCTTCGTTTTGGGCACCAGCAGTGGTGCTCGCCGCCTTGCTTTTCGTTACACTGCCGGCGTGTACGCTTGCCTGGGACGCCGACTGGGAGCTCTATGACTTAGTGGAGGAAATTCCTCAGACTTTTTATGAATTCTTATCTGTTGAACAGGTAGGCGCAGCTTTTCCTTAATCACTCCCTAAAGAGGTGTCATGTAAACGGCATATTTACGCAGTCTTAATGCTCGCTTCTCTTCCTCTAATGCACGGTGATTCATGTTGCTAAAAAAATAATTTGACAACAAATGAAGTATGGCTTGGTGCAACATTATAATCGGCCCGGGTATTTTTTATTTATATGTTATATTGGTTTCGGGTGACGTGTGATTTATTGAAGATTATGTCACTCAAATTATTGGTTTCATTTTCGCTTGCTCCGGAGGTGGTCTTGTGTGAGAAGACGTAGCTATTCAGGTTGGCAAGTCCGTAGGTTTCAGGCTTGTCGTATGAAATATGGCAAGGGCGGACAATGGGCTGTCGACTCATGTTGCGAAGCCTCGACCGTGGGTTGAGTGTTGAGGAAAGATCCCGGCTGAGGCCTAGCCAGCACCCAGTGCCCTGTGGTTGGTTCACAGCAACTACTGACGTGTCCATTTCCCTCTTTCTCGCACCCCACTTGGCTTTGTGCAACGTGTTCATGTTGTGTGTTTTCCTTTGACTGAAGTCCGTTTCTTTACGAAACTGCACAGATATGAAATATTATTTACATGTATCGTGCAAATTGAAATAGGCCACGCGTCTTGACATTTTAGAATTTAAAGTTGATATTGGTGAAATTCATTCAAAGTTCTTGTCAGGCAAATGTACGTACTTATAGCCTTATACCCTGTGATGAACTGTAAATATTCTGTCCAATAGCACTGCTTCCTATTTACTTTACAATTTGTAGTGTAATATATTGAAATTTCTCTGTGAGAGAGTCCTTATCACGACGCTGGAATTCCTCACATTACCAAAAGAAAATTGTCTGAACTTTTCAGGGTGTGCAGAAGAATTATTAATATGCACAACTGATTACTGCTATAAAACATTAATTGTTCTAGATGTGGTTTTGGTGTAAATATGAACCTACAGAAATTGTAAAAGAATGCATGAATTTTCTGCAATTTTTTTTCTTTTTTTTTATTGACCATTTTGAATTATTTGCATTTATTTACTGATTGTTCGAAGGTCATAACTTATGTATAAACCTAGTGTTTCGCTACAGCTGTATTAATTCCTGTTAGCATGACACTCGTTTAAAATGTACACTTCATTAGGCTGAGTTAATTGCTGGCCAAACTGCACTTGTGAATTGTCATTAAGTCCTCATTATGCCATATTCTTTCATATTCACTCTGTCTGCAGTGTCTCATTTGTTCAAAGTTTACTAAGATAATGAATTCAGAGAGTCTACACCCAGCTGGAGAGGGAGAGCTTCTAATTGGACTAAAATAATGCACATCCATGCACTTTGTGTGTGTGATACTGAGGCACTGGTAACCTTCTCTTGTCATGTGAAATAGGCCAGATGTGTGACTTTCGTGTTTAATTTCCTTACCCCTTTGAGGTGTTTGGGGGATGGTTCATGATTGTTTAGAAATACTTTACGTGGGTGATTACATCTTAATGTTCAGTTATTTAACTGGCACATAGTATAATCAGATAACCAAATTGCAAATTATGTAAAGAGAAATTCTGTTTAATCAAATATGCCAGATAATCAAATTGCCATCTCTCTGGTTGGTTAATAAGAATGTTTTCTCAGAAATGGAACTTATGCACTTCTATTTTGTTTCCAGCGTAGTTTGGAAATATTTATAGTCCTAATTGTTGTGTGCTTTTAGTCCTGGCACCAGAAAGAGGCTTTTTTCTTAATTCTTGATTAGTTGTGCCTAAGCCTGTATTCCAGAGGAGCCCACCTCTTTCTGTTGTCATGGCGACATGGTACCGTCACATAACATAAACACTGAGGATTTGCGTCGTTTCGGGTATGACGCGCCATCATGGTTATTAACCTTTGATCTGCCAAGATGGATGGCCCTCCTTATGTTTATGTAGTAGTAATTTAGAAAGAACTTGTTCTCAGAGTGCATTATTATAGTGCTTTTAAGACGAAGATCAGTTCGCCAGGCCTACCCAAATTAGCAAAATTTGGATTGCTAAGTCTTGTGTGTGCTTGAATATATGTAAGCTTCTTTGCAAGGTATTGTGAGCCCTACAATATCTAGATTGTATGCAATATATTCTATAATTATGTGGTGACTAGTATTTTTACTAATAGGTTTTTGGAGTAGTTAACGGCAGTTAACTTATTTTTATATACTGTTTTTCAGAGTATCTTTCAGATTGTTTATCCATGGATAACATAAATAATGTAGATCTCTTGTATTTAGCACTTATGTAAGCTCAGCTAGAAAGTGTGTATGTGTGTAGAAAAAAAAACCAAGATGCATGCACGTGGTGCAATATCCAAATTTTTTTTTCTGCAAAAATAATGCATAGTTTTGGAGCTAGTACCTTTTACATTGTCATTAGGTTAAATGTCTGCCTTTTTGTTTTTGAATACAAGTAAGGGTTAAGTAGTACTTTTCCTGGTGAAAGTTTTGTCTTGTTCATTAGCTTGTGTTGGGACAGCACTGGAAAATGTTGTTGTGATCTGTAAGATGCTTTAATAATTTTTTTGTTATTTCTGAAATAATTGACTTGTTCTTGCTGTGTGTCATCCCCTTTGGTCAGCCACAAAGGGTATGCTCATTTTTTCTGCTATTGTTTTGCTGTTGTGAATGATGATCGTATAACGTATGCACAGTAATTTATCAATATATGAATATTTAACTAATTTACCGGTCACCACAAATGTCTTATTGTTGCGGCATTACTCAATATCTGCAGGTAATTAAATTAGCATTTCTGTTTTTGTTCTTGGCCTTGATGTACACGGCAGGAAGTTGGCAGTTTCATAAAATTCCCAGTGAGTCATTATGTAGTCGTCTTTTCATGTTTTTATAACACTGAGGAGTTTGTGTCAAGTTGGGTATTAGAGTGCAAAATGTTAACCTCCATACCCTATTGTTCAATGCACACAATACAATTTTCTAGTTAGATAGAAAGTCGTCTGGTGCTGAATAGAATTACCTCAGTGTCAGTCACCCACAAGAACCCTTGGAAGTCATTTAGGAATATTTTGTGCCTAGGGTCTGAGAAATGGGCATGTTTTTTTTTCATTTTGACTGAGTGGTGCACTAGAGGAGAACATAGGCATTCGACACTGTTGCATTCCGATTTTTGCGGAACCTGGACATGCGCCTGTCCTTTCACGATCGCCCCTTTGCATAAAGCCGGCCGTCAGTCTGCCTGCAGTCCACTAATCTCCCGCCAGCTGGGGTCCCTGTCGCTGACAGAGAGGGGAAGCCGCCTGGCCTACCGTGCTGACAGTCCACTGCTGGGATGCAATCTTGCGTTCTGGTCCCAGCCGCTATCGCTGTCTCATTTTCCTTGTGGCCGCAATAATATTTTCAGGAGTTAAACCCCCCCCCCCCATTCCTGATGCTGGTAATTGCTTGACCTCCCCAGTTTTACGAGACTCTTTGTTGTTCCATTCAGCGAGTACTAAAGACTTTATTAGTGAGGTTTGGAGGACTGTGCTGTTTTTACACCCCACCTCTTGCCCCCATGGGGCAACCCAGCAAGAGCCACAGGCCCACGGGCCTCACTCTCCTGGCGTCCTCCTGTGGCCTCACTCTCCTGGCGTCCTCCTGTGGCCTCACTCTCCTGGCGTCCTCCTGTGGCCTCACTCTC